CGGGGCAGCTGGGGCAGTGGATAAGGGGCTTCACATGTGACAACAAGAGAGACAGGACTGAATGCAGCACACTACCCGATCCTTGGGAGGCCACCACAACTGTTTCCTCCTAACTCCGCGGGGTCCGTTTGTACCCAGAGCAGAGCAGAGAGAGCAGGAGGGATCCCGACTGTATCTTTCAGCACAGTCCTGAGCTGCATCCCCCAGGATCTCAGGAACCGACCTCTGGCCAGTTATGACGGAGCTGTCTGGAACCCTAGCTACAGGAGTCAGAGTCACAGCAGTCAGGGCTGGAGTATGGGAAGCTCAAACTTAGGGAGACCTCATCTCAAAAACAAAAATTAGAGGACTAGGAAGATGGTGTTAGTGGTTAGAGCACGAAGAGAACAAGCTTGGGGACTGGGGGGGTGGATCCCCAGAACCCATACAAATACCAGCTGGGCATGGGCACCACACCTGTGATTCCAGCCTGGAAAGCAAAGACAGGGATCTCAGAGAAAGCGGGCTAGCAAGACTAGCCGTGTGTGTGTGTGTGTGTGTGTGTGTGTGTGTGTGTGTGTGTGTGTGTGTGTGTGTGTGTGTGTGTATGAGAGAGAGAGAGAGAGAGAGCTCTGGGGTTGACTGAGAGTCCCTGCCTATTGACTAAGATGGATGAGCCATTGAGGCTGGCTTCCACACGCATGCACACCCTCCCATATGTGCTCATATATGTGCAAACAGGTATATACACACACATGCATGTAAAACTGAAAATGAAAACAAATGATAAAAAAGTAAAACGTGGGTTGCTTGTCCAGTATGTGTGCGGCCGTGATTCCTGCGATGGAGCTAAGGGACTTGTTTGCTTGAAGTATTGGTAGGAGCATCTGCAGACCTTCACTGTGACTGTGGGGGACCAGGGGGGTCACATGATCCAGGACTCTGAAACTGGCTTTATCCACTCACTGGTGGGATGGTGGTGGGATGGCACAGCTGTCCTTACTACAGTAGATAAAAGTGGCCATCTTACCCTGCTGTCATCCCAAGTCTATTTTGATTAATAATGTTGCAAGATGAGGTGACATCTGAGGAAGCTTAACACCGGGATTAAGAATGAAGCCAGGTATGGTGCAGGCTTTAATCCCAGCTCTCGGGAGGCAGAGGAGGATGGATCCCTGTGAGTTTGGGGCCAGCCTAGTCTACATAGTGAGTTCCAGGACAGACAGAACTACATAGAGAGACCCTGTCTCAAAAGAAAAAAAGAGAAAGAAGAGAGAGAAAAAGAAGAACGCAATCCACTAGGGAACTTGGGAGGTGACCCAGGGCACAAGAACGTCTACAATCACCTGCCATTCCTGCCTTGTGTGGGATGGAGACAGGAAGCTCCTGGGGCTTTGCTGGCTGACAGGCAAGGCTGCAGGTTCAGGGAAGAACCCCATCTCAAGGGAGAGTGTTAGAAAAGACCTTTTCTGGCCACGGCACGCTCACAAAGGCATGCGTACACACATGTTCAAATACATGACACACAAATACATGCCCCCAAGCAATAAAACCAAAGCCAACTAACTTTTAAAAGAACAAAACCAAGACTGGGATGAACGAGGTTCAAAAAGTCACCTGACACTGGGCTCCTAACACCACACACACAGAGGACCTCTAGCTAGATGCTTCTTTGTCTGTCTGTTTTGTTTTGTTTTTTAACGCCAACTCAGGGCGTTTCACTTCATTTAAATATGCAGTACTAGGTCTAAAAAATAATAATAACAAAATAGTAACTTCTAGGAAGGGGAAGAGAGGAATACTTGCAACACAAATTAATTTTTAAAAATCATACAATCAATCATAAATCAATCAAACAAACAAACAAAAGCACCCAAACCCACGGATTCTTTCAGTGAGGACGCTCCTTCTGACTTAGTGAAGGCTCTGAACACAGACACAAGCCAAGAGCTTTGCCGCCGATGCTTGGGCCACAACTGCAGGGGGGGGGCATCCTGCTTGGTGACCACATTTTATAGCGCTGCTCTACAGAGGACATCCTAACGTCAGCCCGATACATCTTCTCTCTCCTCTCCCTCTCTCTCTGAATCGGGGTCTCACTCGGTAGCCCAGTTGGCTTCTGCCTCTTGGTCCTCCAGGATCAGCCTCCCTGGTGCCAGGGCCACACCCAGCTCAGAAGTCCAATTTCATGAATGAGATGAATGACCAAAGCCAAGAAGGTCAATTTCTACTTCCAGATTCACAAAGCTACTGACAGAGATGAGGAGGAGAGACATGACAGGTCCTTGAGCCTGAAGTCATGTCTAGATGGGGAAGCTGAGGCTCCAAAGGGGTCCCGAGGTTCCCCATGGGAGGAGAAAAGTGAGCTGTACGGTGCCACCTCTTAGGCTTCCACGAAAGCAGCGGCCCTGAAGATCTGCGGAACCCTTGAACCTGCAGGGCTGAGCTGTGCTCTCTGGGGTGAGCGGATCTCCCTACCGCCCGAAGCCTAGCGTCTAATCTCTTCCATCTTTCCTTCTGGTATTTGTTACTGGGTGTCATGCAAGACCACCTCCAGCCTCACAGCTTCCTTCCTATTTCTCGAACACACTGGATGCTGGGCCTTTGCACGTGCTGGCCCTCCTTGTCTATGAAGCTCCTGCCTTCCTCTCTGTCAGACTCATCCTTAGCGACTTCCCGCACACAGCAGCCGTCTGGTGAAGAAGTGATTGAGCCCTTCCTGCCCGTTCTCTTGTACACCCTCCTGATCTACTGAAGTCAGAGGTCAAGGGTCCTCTAACCACAGTGGCCTCTCTTTACCTGGCATCCTGCTACACCCTCCAGGCCAGCTGCCAGTCACCAGGGTAGTACGGTAATAACGACAGGCTACCGTATTACTGGGAGGCACCGCCTGGATGCTATAAGCAGACAATCCGGACACTTGCCCAGGTTTAGCATCACTAGCTGGCAATGCGTACCGTGGATTTAGGGCGAGAAGCAGAAACGTCCTCGTGGTTTACCAAGACTGGCCAGTCACTCATACTCAACATCTGATGCCAGTGGGTCCTAGGGTAGCGGCTGATCCTGTCCCGTACAGCCCAGATGAACCTTCAAGGTTAATATTCAAATGCATTCACTCCCCTCTCCTCCCTCGCACAGCCACACTGCCCATGACTGTGGAGCACTGTGTCTCAAGAAGCAGCCATTTGTCCCCGCGTTCTCTCAGAACTGCAGACAGAGGCAGAACTGGCCGCACATAACCTAACACTGTACCACTTTGTCCCTGGATGTGACATTTTATACAAGAGGCCCAGTCATGTCTAGTTCATGAGCCCAAGCACAGATTGTCAAGAGGCCACACAGGTCTCTGCGGAGCCCTGCTCCTGTAGCCTGCCAGGCATGGAGCTGGGTGTGTGTGTGTGTGTGTGTGTGTGTGTGTGTGTGTGTGTGTGTGTGTGTGTGTGTGTGCAGCGTGCGCCCATAGGGTCTGCTAGATGGTCATCTAATGTCAGGTAGCTAGATAGCAGGGGACTTATCGGCCACTGAGGATGAGCCCCTCCTTCCTGTTTCCCTGGTAGTGCTACAAATGGAAACATTTAATTGCCTCCTTAAGATTTAAGGTGGAGGAATGTTGGCTTTGTTGAGGCTCATTAAGGGAAAGCTAATTCCTCCTGGTCAAAAGAATAGAAGTTCCACCTCTGGCTAGGGGCGGACATCTGACATCCTAAACTACCCCAAAACATTACATACTCTTGTCTCCTCCTTTTAAGAGTAAATCCAGTGGGACCTGCCAATCACCTGGAGGACGGCTACTCCTGCCCTCCCCCCACCCCAACACAGGCATCCAGGAAACCTGATCCTCCTGAAGACTAGCTGAGAAAATGGGAGAAATAATTATCCCCTAAGGAGACGGTGCCCTTGCCCTTCCTCCATGCAACCTCTGGCTGCTCTGAGTTCGAGTCCTAACACAGAAAGGCAGGCCTCTTCTTTCTCTGGCGCATTTTCTTCGGGATGCCAGCTAAGGCCCAAGCCTGCTCTTTCCAGCCCCCAGGGCTCTCCAGTTCTCTCTAAAGCCCCCCCCCATTGCAAAGGGCAGGGCTTTCTCTCCTGCTTCTCCCGCCTCCTGGCACCCGTCAAGACTTACAGCTTGCCTGCCCTGTTGTCTCTCTCACATTCTAATAAAATTGTCCTTGAGCTGCCCTCCGAGTCCATTCTTAAATTCCTTTTCTAATGGCACTAAGAACCCAAAAGGAAAACCTTTCACACTAGCCTGGGAAAGGGGAGCACTGGGGACTTTGTCCCTGCTACTCTGGGAAGGGGCAGGGAGCACTAAGGAACAATAAAGCATTGTGTTGGGGGGTAGGTAGTGCTCTCCCCAGCAGGGGCACTCACTCACGCGGGGGGGGCTGGGGATGGAGGTTGAAAAGGCCTCTGCTCCAACATTAGAACATTAATCTACATGCGGGAAACAGGATGATGCCTTGAGCTCAAGACCAGCTTAGGGCTACATGGTAGTACTCTGTCTGCACTCTACACACACACACACACACACACATACACATACTCACACACACACATACACATACTCACACACACACACACACACACACACACCATCTAAAGACTAAACCTCATACAGAGTACAACTTTAGTGACCCAAGCATTTTGTTCCCTCCCTAACAAGATTCTCAGTACAATTCTGGGAGACAGAGTCACTGCCCCACTTGTGGTTGGGGAGGAGGACCTGGGAGTCACCGACTTTAGCTCCCTGGTTGGTCAACACAGGAGCGCCAGAGCCTTTCTCACGCCCAAGACAGATCAAAGAAGAAGAAAAAAATGCCCCAAGCAAAACTCCCCCAAAGGAATCTTTTCTCTCCAGAGATGATGATATCAAAGGACATTTTGTTACTTCTTGGAAATTCTTTGCCTTCCAAGGGCTGCACAACCCAGCAGTTTTCTGTAATTATCACTAAAGTATTCGGCCTAGTTCCTGCCTCCTTCGCTCACTTTCAGACAGACAGGAACACCAGTTCAGCGGTTACCTGAGCTCCGCGGCAGGTGCGCAGCCCTAGGGCCCCTGTAGTCACGGCCTTGGCTTCCAAACTCTGGCAACGTCTCCAAAAGCCCCCAATCTGCGCAGTCACAGAGGGGAGCAGCCCTGCTCTGAACAAGTCCAGGCAAGCCCAGGCACAGCCCCTGGTCCGGTCCTCCCCCCAGGCACCGCGAGGCTCCCGGGATGGAAGAAGCCTCTTCAGCGCCGCATCATGGGAGTTGGGGGTTGCTCCGTCACCTGAAAAGAGAAAGGGGTGTAAGGTGGGCAAAAGGCAGGGCGCGAGAGGGCGGTGCCAGCGAGCGCTGGGTCCCCGGGCGGCACTGCGGGAGCCAGGGTCACGCTGGTCTGTGCGCTGGCCACACTAGGCGAGAGGTGACCGGGGCACCCACCACAGAGGGACCAGGCAGCTGCACTGGGGTCCCGTTGCGCGAGTTACAAGCATTGGGTCCCGAGCCGAGCCTTCGTCTCTGCTCTGCCGGGGTTCTTTTCCCTAGTGAGAGCTCAGAGTTTGCGCAGCGCCCCAGCTGGCTGCCCAGTCCCAGGGCGTGCCACCCCCTAGGGGCCGATGTCAGTGTGCACCCCGGGCCATCACGATCCTTCCGGGGATCCCTCGCCTCTCAGCCTTGAGACCGAAGCCCGAGTGGGCCTATAACTAGCAAACAGAAACCACGAAGACACTCGCCACAATGCCCAGCCCCAGGGTAGCTCTCCGGGAAGAGGGCAGAAGAGTCCCACGGATCAGGTCACCAAAGTATGGAAGCGTCCTCTCTGAGACATTGCCAGCTCAGAATGTTCGGATGTCCTATGCAGCCCCAGATTCTAATGCCAAGAGCAAGCACCCGGCCGTGGCCACCGCCCGTTTGACCTGCGTCCCGTCCCCACTCACCGTGCCCCCAAGTTCTGTCACCCCCAGATGCTGGGGCAACCCAGCTCTGCACTCCGTCTTAACTCTGTGAGCTGGTCCCAGGAGTGAGGGAGAGGCACCGAGTGCCTGGCGCTCTTGAGCCGGGAGTGCAGGGCAAGAGGGGCCGGGCTTTTGTACTAACTCACACTGAAATGCTGAGCTCAGAGCCGCAGGGAGGAGTCTGGGCAGCCGGCCAGGCACGCGCCTCCCATTTCTCACGGGCTTCCTCCCCATACAGAGCCTATGGAGCAGGACCCCCTTGAAGTTGGTAGAGGCGCAGTGGGACAACCTTGCAGACTGCCCTGCCCTGTGGAAAGGGACACTGCACCTCTCGCCCTGTTCCCAGCCATTATGCGTCCCAGACTCAGCCAGGACACTCCAGAGACAAACCGCCCTTGGGTCCCTGGTGCCCAGGTACTAAAGCGGCAGGCTCACAGGACTCCTGTTGTAAAACCTCTGCCTGGGAAGGTGACACGACAGAAGTCCCTTTGGCGGCGGCAGATCCTCCTGGAAGACTCACACCCATGCACACTGCCTGCAGCTCTCCACACACTTGGAATTCACACTTCAGCTGGGCTCTCACTGAAGCTGGCAGAGAAAAGCTCTCTGGAGCGAGAGGGAGAGACCCCATGCCTCCTCTGTGAGAGGAAAAGGAGTTCTGGGAAGGAGAGAGGCAAACACTGTCCAGACATACGAGGACATGTGGGCAGTGCCACTTAAGCTGTCCCCATTTCACTGAACGGGAGATTGAGCTCATTGGGATGCCTGTGCATTCTGTTTTTCCCAGGCTTCTAGTGTCCGGGAGATCTCAAGAGACCTAGAGTGAGCCCAGAAACTCGTAACAAATGCAGGACACAGGTGAATCGCTGCCGAGCAGGCCCAAGCATTGCAGTGGTGGCCGGAATTCCACACAGCCTGTGAAGGTCTCCAGAGCACCTGCAGAAGGAAGCCGGTGGGCCATGGAGGCAGCACTCAGTGAGGTCTTTTTTTAAGACAGGGTCTCTCTATGGAACCCTGGCTGGCCTGAAACTCACCATGTAGACCGTGTTGACTTCAAAAGCACAGATACCTGCCTGCCTCTGCCTCTTGAGCGCAGAGATTAAAGGGTGCTGCGCCACACCCAGCTAGGACAAGGTTTTGTGGGCAGACAAAGTGGGTTCCCCTTCTGACTCACTGGGTGACCCTTGGTACTATGAGTTCAAACACACACACACACACACACTCACACACACACTCACACACATTCTCACACACACACACACACACCTTTTCCTATGTAGGCCCTTGTCACACTAGGCATCATCTTAACTCTCCCCTGGAGATCTCTGTCAGCTTCTCAAAGAATCTTCTGAGATATCACCAGTTCTTTTTAAATTACAGACGAGGACTAGAAAAGTAAAGCTTGCCCTTGTCACAGTGGGGGGAGAGAATGAATGAATATGTGAGCCCTCCCATGGGAGGAAGGGGGGTCATAAGGACTGCGGTCAGTGCTGACACACGGCAGACACCCCCCATGCCCGTCCCTGTTCATCTAATGGGGCCTCTGGGGGCACCCGCTATGTCATGGGCTTGTAGAACACCCTTCGTTCTCTTCTCCATAGGGACAGACCCACGGGAGCACCCTTATCTGGTCCTCCATCCCCATTGGCTCCTCTGTACCCTACTTCCCTCTGAGAACTACCAAGATGTCTTGATGTGGGCAGCTGACAGATACACGCTGTACAGATGCTAGATTCCACCAAGAGAAAACTAAGAAAGCCCAGTCCTTAGCACCTTTCCATCCTTGGAGGCTGCATCAGTCTGGACCCCCTGGTTTTCTTTATAACATCACCATAGAAGCAAGAACTTTTCCCCTATTGTGGGGAACAAACCCAGGGCCTTGTTCCTGCTAAGAAGCAGATCCTGAGCTCTCGGTTTTGTTTGTTTGTTGTTTTTGAGGCTATGTAGCACGGGCTAGCCTTAAACTCATGGTCCTCCTGCCTCAGCCCCCTGCATGCTGGGGTGACTAGATACACTTTGATACCTGGCTAAGGACTGTTTTAGGGGAGCCTCTCTGTCACACAAGCTCAGTCCTACCTCTCCCTAGTTATTGTTTAGAATCTCATAATAATCAACCCATACTTGGAGCCCCACACTTGGCCTCCAGGCAACATAGGCGGTCTCTAGAGGGAGAGAATTTCAGAGAAGCATGAGCCCCTGGGCACACCAGCCCACGTCCCTAGACACAACTGTCACATGGTGCTCCAAGAAACCTTGGTGTTTCCTATATGACCACTGATGCCAGAAGTACTTATGGCCGCTGCACGCTTTCCTCTCCAACATGAGCTACAGAATCCCCCAGATGTTTCTAGACCCAAGTCATCCAGGAAGCCCAGGAGTCCTGACCTCCTATGACGATATCGTGTATAAAAGGGAAAACTTCCAAGGGAGTTTGAAATGTTCTAGAATTAAAGGAGAGTGATGGTTGTATGGCATGGTGGTTTGACTGTGGTATTTCCCATAGTCTGCAGCGTTTGAATGCTCGGTCCCTCGTTAGTGGCATCCTTTGGGGAGGTTGCACACATCTGTAATCTTGGTGTTCCTGTGGTGAGATGGGAGATGGAGACAGGAGACTCCTGCAAGTTCTTGGGCCAGCAGCAAAAACAAGAGGCCGTGTCTCAAACAAGGTGGGGGGTGAAGACCTCAGGTTGTTCTTTGACCTCTATATCTGTGCTGTGGTGCACACGCTCGAAGACACACAAACACACACATACACACACACAGATTGAAAAGGAGTAAGGAAAGGGGCATTAGCAGTGGTGGATTTGTCCAACATCAGGAAGCCCCATATTCTTTCCCTAGCATCAAAAGATGAAAGGGGACAAAGGCATCTTTGCATCATTTCTTCCCGACCCGGCTAGGTCCCTGAATGTTGACCCACCCCCCTAGCCTAGAAGCTCTCATCTGGTGGTGGGTGACCAGGAGCCAGACATCCTATTGGCTGCAGATGATCTGAGGCTGTGGAGTCAAGAGACCAGGGCAGCCTGTTTCTTCCCCTCCCTGAGACAGGACTACCTGGACCCTACAGGAGACAGGACTCCAGGGATACTACTCTTGGACCCTACAGGAGAATAGTGACATGGGAGAGGGGCTTCCTTCTCTACTGCCTCGCATCAGAGTGCCGTTGGATGCCGAGACACACAGGCCATGCTTGTGCTTGCATACGTATGCACATGTGTGCGCACGCGTGTGTGTACATGTGTGTGTGTACGTGTGGCATAGGGAGAGGTGCTTCGTGGTGCCTACAGAGCATGTAACCCACGGCCATCACCAAGCACAATTCTCCAGGCTTTGTCTCTGATAACAAAGCCATCTTGACTTGGCTTAGCAAACAGATCACGCCTGGTTAAAACCAAAACCAGCCGGCCCATTGTGCCAACTCCAGTAACGTTCACCGTGCTCCCAGCACTGTTTCCTGAACACCTGAGCTCCATCAGCACGAAGGCCCTGCAAATCTGCCCAACTCTTAAAGCTGCCTCGTGGCTTCTGAGTCAGGTCAACCTTTCTCTGATCAGGGACCAAGGATTGCCTTGTTCTGAGACAACTGATTGTCAGTCAGTAGCTAGACGGACATTACTTTGTCAGTGAGCATACAGATACAGAAACACCGTTGGTTGAGACTGTCCTGTGTCTGAGAGTCTGCATCACATTCATCCCCTCTGAGCCTCGGTGCAGTTCCAAATGGCTCAGTGGGTAAAGGTGCTTGCTGCAAAACCTGATGACCTGACTTTGATCCCTGGATCCCACACGGTAAAAAGAGAGGATCAACTGGTATAAGTTGTCCTTTGACCTCTGCACAGGTTCCCGTGAGATCCTGTGCTACTTCCGGCATGGCCAGTGGCTGAGGCAGGAGGATCATTATGAGTCTGAGGACAGTTGGGCTCCATAACGAGACCCTGTCTCTAAAAACAAACAAACAACAAAAAAAAAAAAAAAAAAAGGAAAGGAAGAAAGAAAGAAAAAAAAGACCTAAAAAAAAAAGGGACCATTTTGTCAAGTAATTTGGGACAGCATATTTGGATAAAGACTTGATCAAAGAAGCAGTTAGAAAAAATAAACATAAATTAAATAAATCTTTAAAAAGAGAAAAAAATATGGACTGCAGAGATAGCTCAGTGGTTAAGAGCACTGCCCGCTCTCCCAAAAGTCCTGAGTTCAATTCCCAGCAACCACATGGCGGCTCAGAACCACCTGTAATGAGATCTGGTGCCCTTTTCTGGCATGCAAGGATACGTGCAGGCAGAACACCGTGTACCTAATAAATAAATAGATCTTTAAAATAAATAAGTAAACAAATGTCAGCGTGCTTTGGTTATGACCCAAACATCTGAATGCAACACAAGGGTGATGCCTGGAAGGGAGGAATGGATGCTTTTCTTTCCTTTATAAAATTTCTTTTGAGATAGGGTCTCATGTAGCCCAAGGTAACCCTGAACTCCCTATGTATCAGACAGATGACCTTGAACTTCAGACCCTCCTGTCTCTACCTGCTGATGCTTCCTAACCCAGGCACGGGCCACCACATCCTGTTTGTTCATTTTAGTTTATGTGTATGAGTGTTTGCCTGCACGTTATGTATGTGCCCCACATTCCTGCCATGCTTGCAGAGGTCAGAAGAGGGCATCAGATCCCCTGGAACTGGAGTAACAGGCGGCTGGGAGCCACCATGTAGGTGCTGGGAACCCAACCCCGGTCCTCTGTAAGTGCAGCCACCGCTGCAGCCCACCACGCCCAGTTTCTGCAGTGCTGGGGATTGAACGCAGGACTTTGTACACACAGGCAAGCATTCTACCAACCAAACTATATTATCAGCCCTAGAAGACTGTCATTTTTATAAAGTGTGTGTGTGTGTGTGTGTGTACACGTGTATCTGCGTGTGAATCTGGGTCATCCCAGGTTGTTAGAGGACAAGTATTAGTCATCTCCTT